ATCTATCTATCTGTCTGTCTGTCTGCCTGTCTGTCTGTCTATCTATCTATCTATCATCTATCTATCTATCTATCTATCTATCATCTATCTATCTATCTATCTATCTATCTATCTATCTATCTATCTATCTATCTATCTATCTACCTTTGCCTGCTGAATTTGTGGCTTCTTTGTGAATTTGATTACCCTAGTTTGGTTTAGTGGTTAAGGCACCAGACGGGAAACTGGGGGACTGAATTCTAGTCCTGCTTTGGCCATGAAGGCCAGATGGGTGGCTTTTTGAGATGATGAGTTCTAGTCCCACCTTAGCTATGAAAGCCCCCTGGGTGACTTTGGGCTGATCACGAGGAGATGGTGAGTTCTAGTCCCACCTTGGCCATGAAAGTCAGATGGGTGACTTCATGGCAATCACTAGGTGACATGAATTCTAGTCCAGCCTCAGCCATGAAAACCAACTGGGTGACTGAGACCATCCCCAGGTGACCGTGAGTTCTAGTCCCACCTTAGCTATGAAAGCCCCCTGGGGTGACGTTGGGCGGATCACAAGGAGATGGTGAGTTCTAGTCCCACCTTGGCCATGAAAGTCAGATGGGTGACTTCATGGCAATCACTAGGTGACATGAATTCTAGTCCAGCCTCAGCCATGAAAGCCAACTGGGTGACTGAGACCATCCCCAGGTGACCGTGAGTTCTAGTCCCACCTTAGCTGTGAAAGCCCCCTGGGGTGACGTTGGGCGGATCACAAGGAGATGGTGAGTTCTAGTCTTCCCGTAGCTGTGAAAACCAGCTGGGTGACTTTGGGCCAGTCCCTCTTTCTCAATCCAGCCCCACCTCGCCAGGTTGTTGCTGTGGGTCAAATAGGAGGAGGAAAGTGTATCGGATGATGTTTCCCGCGTTGGGTTATTGATTGATCGCCTCTCTCCCCCGCCTCCAGAATGAAGAAGGACATGCTGCACCGGGTGAATGCCGTCGCTGCCGAATTCCGCAAAGTGGCCAACAACCAGATGGCGGAGACCACGAAACGCACCATCCGGGAGAATGTGGCCATCAGCCTGCAGCTGACCAAGGTGACGGAACAGAGCCTGCAGCTGATGCAGGAGAACGACCGCTTGAAGGAGGCCCACGCCGATGCCATCAAGCAGCTCCAGCTGCTCGAGCAGAACGAGAAGAAAATGGT